TGACACTTTCATTACTGAAAACAATGATCATGTCACATGGGTTGTTGGGAGGGTGGTCACATGACAAATTTCCTAAAATAGTCAAAAAATGAAAGTTGTAGCTCTTTACTGTAGCTTCCAGAATCTGTTTGAATTATGTTCTGAAGTGCTTCCATTGTGGAGATATGAGGTAAAAGAATTTTGTTACCACCAGGTTTTTGCGACCTTTTTGCATTTTTCTTCATGAAGCCAGCACCAAACGATATGATTTCAACAGATTTAGAAACCTAAGAGAAGAGCCTGCAACTATTATATCGTGGAAAAAAATAACCAAAAAAGGAAGTTGCATACCCCAAAAGGGAAATTGACACTGACAGACTGCCAAGGATTAATGATAGACCAGATATAGACTACAAATTATGCTGATAGACAAACTATTGTCTGCTTTTTAAGACTACAAGCATTTGTAGTCTCTGCTTTTTAGGACTAAAAAAGTTTGTAGTGTCCACTTTTTAAGACTACAATGGTTTGTAGTGTCTGCTTTTTAAGACTACAAAAGTTTGTAGTGTCCGCTTTTTTAGACTACAAAACTTTGTAGTGTCTGCTTTTTAGGACTGCAAATGTTTGTAATGTCTGCTTTTTCAGACTGCAAAGGTTTGTGACTGCAAAGTTTGTAGTGTTCTCTTCTGACATTTAGTTTGTACTGGCCTTGACTATGTATATGTTCATGGGGACATGACTGAAGAATTGATATGCATGGTCAACCTTTTGCCATGGTTGCAACATCTGCATGCCTCATGGTTGTCTTTCATATTGAGGAGACCTATATCATCTTTTCAGACAAACCACCATCCTATCTCTGACCTTGGCCAAATTTCTGTTCATGTCAATAGCCACTGGTCTCTGTCTGCCCATACCAGATGATTCCCATTCATCAGTCTTTTTTCTGTGAGGAAGGGTGTCTAGTCAACCTTGACATGATCTTCTTGAAGGCTATAACACTGACCACCAATCTCACATCATAACAGGAAAGATTCACCAGATTCTATGTAACTTGTGTTTCACTTGAATCCTGAATAAGTGTAAAGAAGGAGAGAAGAAGAGACAGCCTTCCATCATTCACTCCCTAGTAGTTTTCAAAGAGTTTCAGTTAAGACTGATTAAGCAGATAGAGACAAACTAGTAACAGAAAATTATTCAGAATGGACACACAGAGACCATTGGCTAGTGATATGGATAGAAGTTTGATTGAGGTCAGACATGGGACAATGGTTTATTTGAAAGGATGGTACAGGTCTCTTCAATGTAAAAGACAATTATGGGGCATGCAGATGTTGCAACCATGGCAAAAGGTTGACCATGCATATCAATTCTTCAGTCATGTCCCCATGAACATATACATAGTCAAGGCCAGTACAAACTAAATGTCAGAAGAGAACACTACAAACTTTGCAGTCACAAACCTTTGCAGTCTGAAAAAGCAGACATTACAAACATTTGCAGTCCTAAAAAGCAGACACTACAAACTTTTGTAGTCTGAAAAAGCGGACACTACAAACCTTTGTAGTCTGAAAAAGCAGACACTACAAACTTTTGTAGTCTTAAAAAGCAGACACTACAAACCATTGTAGTCTTAAAAAGTGGACACTACAAACTTTTTTAGTCCTAAAAAGCAGACACTACAAATCCTTGTAGTCTTAAAAAGCAGACAATAGTTTGTCTATCAGCATAATTGTAGTCTATATCTGGTCTATCATTAATCCTTGGCAGTCTGTCAGTGTCAATTTCCCTTTTGGGGTATGCAACTTCCTTTTTTGGTTATTTTTCCCATGATATAATAATTGCAGCCTCTTCTCTTAGATTTCTAAATCTGTTGAAATCATATTGTTTGGTGCTGGCTTCATGAAGAAAAATGCAAAAAGGTCACAAAAACCTGGTGGTAACAAAATTCTTTTACCTCATATCTCCACAATGGAAGCACTTCAGAACATAATTCAAACAGATTCTGGAAGCTACAGTAAAGAGCTACAACTTTCATTTTTTGACTATTTTAGGAAATTTGTCATGTGATCACCCTCCCAACAACCCATGTGACATGATCATTGTTTTCAGTAATGAAAGTGTCAAAGGGCCCAATGAAATATCCTAATGAAAAAGCTAAAAATAGTAATGAAAGCACCAAGGAGCCTAATGAAATATCCTAATGAGAAATTTAAGAAATTGTAACAAAAGGGTAATGAAATATCCTAATGAAAAGTCAAAGAAATGGTAATGAAAGCACCAGAGGACCCAATGAAATATCCTAATGAAAATTCAAAGAAATGGTAATGAAAGCACCAGAGGACCCAATGAAATATCCTAATGAAAATTCAGAGAAATAAGCACCAGAGGACCCAATGAAATACCCTAATGAAAATTCAAAGAAATGGTAATGAAAGCGCCAGAGGGCCCAATGAAATATCCCAATGAAAATTCAAAGAAATGGTATTGAAAGAGCCAGAGAGCTGAATGAAATACCCTAATGAAAATTCAAAGAAAGGGCAATGAAAGCGCCACAGGACCCAATGAAATATCCCAATGAGAATTCTGAGAAATAGTAATGAAAGCACAGGTCTAAATGAAAAATTGCAATGACATCAGGAATGAAATGAAAATGAAAGAGCACAGAATAACTAATGAAATATACAATGAAAGCACACTGGATTTCAAATGAAAGGCAATAAGAATGCAGGCTATTAGAAATGAAAAATGCCTTGCAAAGATTTGAAATTGATAATGAAAAATGGTTGATATCTAATGAAATTGGCTACACCATGGTTTGTTATGAGTTATGAAAGAAATCCAAGGCATTATGAGAATGACAAGTTGCCAGCCTTATATGAGATTTTTCATAAAAAACCATGGCATTTTACACACAGCACTGTAGGCAACTGCCTTAGTTTTATCATAACTAATGGTTCCCACTAGTGACCATCAAACTATTACTGCAATCTATGGTGGAAAACACAATCTTCGGCTCAGCAGTTGATGGTGGATCGTCGTCCACCCAAGGAGCTCCCATTGTATGTGAGTTATCTATTACTACAGTCTTAGCGAAATGATGTGTTCTGACTGCTGCTTCAGAGAGATCTATTGATCTAATTGCCTCTCATTACTTACCGTGGGTGCCTAGATGGTTCTGCACTTCATATAACTTGTAGATAATCCCATTTGTAAGGTTACTCACATTGTAAGGTTGATAATGCCTGCCACATATGTTAGTCATGTTGTGCCTTACCTAATGGAGTAGCCGGACGTGACAAAACACCATACTACATGGGCCTAGCCGGACGGCCTGAATCTTATGATGTGCCTTTAGTGATGGTGCAGCCGCGATCCTTACAGGGACTCACTAGCATGCGCTGGCTGTCCTTTTCACCAACGGCGTAGTGTCTCACCGGTGGAGATGTCCTGATCCATAGCATCGACCAGCGGTGACAATTGTGGTGTACCCTGTCCTCTGGCGGCAGAAGTTGCAGTGTACCATGTAGACATAGATGGTGATCATACATAGTGATAGGGCTGCAGTCATCAGTTAAATGTCATGAATGTGAGCCATTACAACTGAAAAATATACTGAATGATCAATCACAATGAGAATCCTACTGCAAGGTGATGAGATACTGCAATTTCTTTTGAAACACAAGCAGCCTTCATTAACTATTGTCTACATCATGTCCCCCCAGAAATACAGCTAAATATAACACACCAGCAGAACACCTTTCAATAAAAACACATTGCCTTTTCATAAGAGACACTTTTTGAATAGCTGTGTTGGAGGTCTAAAGCAATATATATATAATAAAGCTCTGTCACAGCAGTGCAATTTTTTCAGAGGCTCCACAAGAGCAATGTTTTTATTTTATTTTAATGGCACCGCCGGCACAATGTATTATTTTTTTAAATGGCACTGCCGGAACAATGTATTTTTTTAAAATGGCACCACCAGCGCAATGTATTACTTTTTAAAATGGCACCGCCTGAGCAATGTATTTTTTTTCAAGAGTAGCACCGCCAGGGCAATCTATTTTTCTTAAAAATGGCACCGCCGGGGCAATGTATTACTTTTTAAAATGCGACCGCCAGGGCAATGTATTTTTTTTAAATGGCACCAGGGCAATGTATTATTTTTTAAAATTCCACCACCAGAGCATAAATGGCACTGCCGGAGCAATGTATTTTTTTTTAAAATGGCACCACTGGAGCAATATATCTTTCTCAAATGGCACTGCTGGAGCAATATGTTCTGCCTTTGAAATTGCTCTGGAAGAGTAGTGCTTGCATATTTTTTAGAAATACAAAAATCATGTTTAGGGCAAAGGACACTAGAATTAAATAGACAGTTGATACATATGATTACTAGTAAATGGGTGGTACTGCTGAGGTACTCTTGTTTACTTCTGCATATGTTTTCTATGGGGGGACTGAGGTATGGATTGCAGACAGTAGATTGCAGATGGTAAGATTGCAGCTGCGGAGGGTAGATTGTGGCTGTGGATGGTATATTGCAGGAGGTATATTGCAGAGGGTAGGTTGCAGCTGTGGAGAGTATATTGCAGGGGGTATATTGCAGAGGGTATATTGTAGTGCTTGTCACGGGTTTCGCAACCCGTGTGGGTTGCAGGTAAGGGTACATGTGGGTAGGGGTACAGGTTTGATCTTCACTACCCTCGCCAAACCCATACCTGTGACAGGGGTTGGCAGGTACCCGTAGCAATACCCGTCATGTAAATAGTCATTTTTTCTTTCATGGTCCGTGTCACTAAGTTACATGTAAAAATTACATGCAATATTTCCAAGTTGTTTAAAAAATACATAACGAAGGTTTTCATTCTAAGTTCATTCGTTAAGTCATTGTTTGGTCTTGCATGCCTCATGGCCTCGCATTTAGGTCAAAATTATGTAGATTATCACCAAGATATGCATATAACATACAAAAAAAGTCTCTAAGGTATTTATAATATATCTATGGTATAAGTAATTTATCGTCGACTGTCTTGGGCGGTGACTACCAGTTGATTGGTGGCGATTTTGACATCAACCTTCCTCAAAAGCATTGTTGATTTCAAAATCGAGCAGCCACAAAAATCTTCGCCAAACTCCTTGATCCTAAACTGCGACCCCTTATGTGGGCCGGTAAACACGGTAACGACCTGGGATTTGCACTCTGGCCTTTCAGGTATTAAATATGGAAATGGCACTTCCAATATTCTGAAACCGAGCTGGACCTTCACTGCATCTCCGACTACTCCCTTGAACTCCCCACACTTATCTTTGTGCTTGCCCCTATGGAAATTAGGGTTGGTGTTGATGAGACGAAGGCTCAGCCTCATGTTGGCGAAGCAGTTGTCTCTGAGCCAATATGGAGAAGGGGCTGCCACAATTGCATCAGTAGCTTTGACTTTAAATTAAATACATAATTACCATCATCGCCACGGCAGGGGGTTTGTGAGCTTGGGTTCCAAGCTGGGGTCATAGAGATATCTTCCGAGTTAGGAAATGGAGTAGATGGCCCTGCAATGGCTGGAGTCTGCACCAGGAAAGCAGCGGGATACGGGACTGATGGTTGCGGATCTGGAAAGGGGTAACCTGGGAACAAAAAGCCTGCCAGAGTACTGGGCGGAGGTGCTGGTTCGAGTGGGTATGTAAAATCAGTGAGAAGCTCTCGAGGCCTGGGTGGCTGAAGCATTTTGTTGGCGCTGGAAGTTGATTAGCAACAATTTCAAAAAATAGAATAAAGGGCTTGCATGATGTGTAGAGAGCTAATGTCAAAAACTTGTGGGCATTGGAGGCACACCTCAAGCTCGACCAAGACCCTTTTTTCACCAACTGTGCTTTTTATTCTGCCTCGGTAACCTCTAAAATCCCCCTTGGTGACCAATACTTGTTTTCCTACAAGATGACTGTTAGAGTCCCCCTTCATGACACGCTTTTGCGCATCTGTGAAGGGAGCTTTCAATTCCGAGGACTCTGTTCCAAAGACGAAGGGGGAGGTGAAGAACTGGACAATTCCTGGAGATACCTCTATCTAAAGGATGACAGAATGTTAGAAGAAGTATAATATAACAAAAAGCAAGACATTTACCTCTGTACCAGTTCTGTCATTGAAGATGCACACATAGTCCTCGTCTTGATTCACTACCCAACCCATAACACCTTTGTGGTCTCCCGAAAGAATGCAGACTTCGTCTCCTACTTTGAGATCTTTTCGAAGGGACGAAAAGGGTACAGTAGTTGTTACATCCTCCATCGTTGAAGAAATGACAGCTTCATTTTCCATTATATCCTCAATCGTTCCAAAAAGCCCCCTCAAATCTCCATGGGTGATTTTCACCCCGTCACCTATTTGAAAGATCCCGGCTGACATTCTCGCCATCGTGTGCTGTCAGATGCTGAGTGAAATGTCTGAGCAGGCACTAAAAAGCTCAAATTCCCTTGATGTCAGTACTACATCTTCTGCGGTGTACCAATCCGTGTCGACTTCCGAGAAATATGCATATCCATCATTGTCGTACAATACTCTGCGGAATAAGTACAAGCTGTTGCGTTCTTGAAAAGCCTGACAAAACCATTGCTTCGCCAGTGTTGGATTGAAGAGGGCTTGGGGAGGCCACCCTGGTGCTTTAGCTCTTCTATTTAGCTCATGATTGGGCTTGTAGGTGGCTGCAAACTCGTCATCTGTCTCATCATTTTGTTCATCGGCGATAAGTTGGCTTCCTTTGACTTTGGTGGCAGGTGGGTTGTAATCAACGCATGGTACCATGAGGAGGTTGATGAGCAATGTGGGGGAAGTGTGAACCTCCCAGATGAAGCCAAGATCTCCTTTGTAGATTCCACGGTGCAGCCGAACCCATGAATGAAGTTTTGGTCAATAAGTATCTGGAACATTGAAGATGGAGGGGTTGGGATCGGGTATGTTGAAAATCTTGGACACCATCACATTGGGTATGCCATTACAGACTTGTCTAATCATCTCCGCTGTGCCATTTTCAAAGAATACTCTACCACGTAGGGCTTTCCAGCCGAACACTGCTGGGGGTCGAAACCGTGCAGGAAATCTAGGGTCCATGAGCTGCCAATGGACTCGACAAACGATCCTCTCCTCATATCCAGGCTAAGTAGAAAAGTCATTACAAACATAATAAGCTTCAAAGATTGGATGAGTGTTACCTTGACAAGCACCACCCATAAAGACACCTTTCCACAGTACTTTACCCTCCCCAGGTTATTCCATATGGAATCCATGGAATGGGGGGTGGACACTTCAGTCACCCATTTTTGGGTACCTATGAGGTACATCAATTCCTTGATTTAAGGTACCTTGGGGGTACCCATTCTGGGGTGGTATATGAGCTCCATACCAATACCATGGTACCAAGGAATGGAAAACCCATACCATACCCCACTCATACCAATACCATGTTACCATACCATACCAATACCATGTCACCATACCATACCAGATGGTATGATGTCACTTCATACCATCATACCAAAGCTGACATAGGGTGTCTGGGGTCCTTTTCCAAAATATATAAATTATTTCTGCAGGCTGCAATACTGGTCCATTGGGTGCCATTTTTTGTGGGGTGGTTCTCCAGGTTTTTTCTGAGATATTAGGCTACAAATTGAGGCCAGATAGTCCAAACCATCTATTGAAAATGAGTTTAAATAGGCTTTATCCCAGCTTTCCCATGCATCCAAAGCCATTTAATGATACATATCTTTCCCAATCCTTTCTATTAAAACAATATTCATCCAAATCAAACAAAACCACATCTATTGTGATGAAGTGGTCATAGAGAAGAAAAGAAAAGTGAAAAGGCTTTCAGGTTTTTGCTAAGATTTCCAATTCCAAGTGGAGGCCACATAGTGAACTCCAACCTTTAAAAATCAGTTCAATTGAGGTTTTTTCATTCCTGAAAAGCCATTAATATGAATGCTTTCAATAATAGGTTAAATATATTTTGCTCAGTAGGGCCAATCAGACAGTCCTGCCTACTTACATAGCATACAGTATGGCCAACAACACCATCATATAATCTCAATTTTCTTAAACACTACATATGTTGGAATCAAGTATTGTTGTCCTGAGTGTTTGGCCAAAGTCTTCTTTCTCATAATAGTTGGTCCAATTTATTGAAGCTAAGTGAATCTGTCCAATCCAAAGTCTTGTCAGAGTCTCCATTATCAAAATATTATACCATGGTATGGTAATCCCATGTTGCACTCTCATACCATACCATACCATAGTATTGCACTCCCATAACATACCATACCATGGTTTTGCAATCCCATCCCATCCCATACCATACCATACCATGGTATTGCAATTCCATCCCATACCATACCATACCATGGTATAGCACCCTCATATCATACCATGGTATCACACTCCCATACCATACCATACCATGGTATTGCACCCTCATACCATACCATACCATGGTATCACACTCCCATACCATACCATACCATGCACCCTCACACCATACCATGGTATCAGGAACCATAATCTATTTTTATTTAGGCAGAGGAAGGCAGAAAACCCTCATTTCGAAGTTTGTTTACATATATTTACCAATAGCTTTGACTGAAGTGATGCTAAAATTTTGTAGTGTCCGCTTTGATGATTTCCTAATTGGGAAAAGCGTTACACTTTTTTCTGCCACACCTAATGTCAGGCACAGTGTGCAGTTAGGTTGGGAACTGTTTCCCACGCTCTTTGGGCCACTGGAGTTAGTGGCTAGCTTAGTGTTGTCATTGTTCATGACGATGTCCGCACTATTTCCTAATTGGGCCATTTCCTAATTGGGAAAAGTGTTACACTTTTTTCAGACATAGCTGATGTCAGGCACAGTGCGCATTTAGGTTGGGAACTGTTTCCCACGCCTTTTGGGCCAGAAGAGTTAATGGCTAGCATGGTGTTGTCATTGTTAATGATAATGTGCGCACTATTTCCTAATTCCGCCATTTCCTAATTGGGAAAAGCGTTACACTTTTTTCTGCCACACCTAATGTCAGGCACAATGCACATTTTAGTTGGGAACTGTTTCCCATGCTCTTTGGGCCACTGGAATTAGTGGCTAACTAGTGTTGTCATGTTTATGACGATGTTCGCATATTTCTAATTTGGAAAGTCATTACATAATATCAGTTTTGGTTTGTACTGTCCGTTTTTCACTACAAAAACTACTAGTGTGCGCTTTTTTCATTACTAAACTTTGTAGTGTCCGCTTTTTAGACTACAAATGCATGTAGTGTCCGCTTTTTTGACTACAAATGTTTGTAGTCTTTGCCTTTTTCATTACAAAGGCTTGTAGTGTGCGCTTTTTTCACTACAAATGTTTGTAGTCTTTGCCTTTTTCATTACAAAGGCTTGTAGTGTGCGCTTTTTTCAGTACAAATGTTTGTAGTGTCCGCTTTTTTGACTACAAATGTTTGTAGTCTTTGCCTTTTTCATTACAAAGGCTTGTAGTGTGCGCTTTTTTCATTACAAATGTTTGTAGTGTCCGCTTTTTTGACTACAAATGTTTGTAGTCTTTGCCATTTTCATTACAAATGTTTGTAGTGTGTGCTTTTTTCCTTACAAATGTTTGTAGTGTCCGCTTTTTTGACTACAAATGTTTGTAGTCTTTGCCTTTTACATTACAAAGTTTGTAGTGTCTGCTTTTTTAGCCTACAAAGATATTTCCCCTGTCTCTATCTAGGTACACGAGGATATAGCTCAATGTTTTAGAGCAACTGAGTCTAGCCAAAACAGCTCTTAATCATTCAGCCTTTGTACCATACAGGGAATTACATGATGATGAAATGGAAAGTAAGAAGAGGCTACACTGAGATGTCAAAACTCATGCCCAAGTTGTCTTGTCCTGACTTTCCCTTTGACCAGCTTCTGTCATGTTCTCATCATCTCCAACACTCTTTGCATATCTCTGGGGACTCATGTATGTCTGACCATAGCCAACCTCAACATGATCTCTTTCAGGACTATGCTGTCCTCCCTTTCTATTTCATAATCAGTTGCAACCATCTGCCCTTTCCCATAGTTACTCTTAAATGTAATTCCTTGCAGGGTACAAAGAGTGAATGGTTTGCCAGCTGTTTAACTACAGTCAATTTCTGTGAAACATCAGCTATACCCCATATACCTTCATGTAATGTAAAAAGCAAAGACTACAGACATTTGTAGTTGAAAAAAGCGGACACTACAAACATTTGTAATGAAAAAGGCAGAGACTACAAACATTTGTAGTCAAAAAAGCGCACACTACAAGCCTTTGTAATGAAAAAGGCAAAGACTACAAACATTTGTAGTCAAAAAAGCGGACACTACATGCATTTGTAGTCTAAAAAGCGGACACTACAAAGTTTAGTAATGAAAAAAGCGCACACTAGTAGTTTTTGTAGTGAAAAAGCGGACAGTACAAACCAAACTGATATTATGTAATGACTTTCCAAATTAGGAAATATGCGAACATCGTCATAAACAATGACAACACTAAGTTAGCCACTAACTCCAGTGGCCCAAAGAGCATGGGAAACAGTTCCCAACCTAAATGTGCATTGTGCCTGACATTAGGTGTGGCAGAAAAAAGTGTAACGCTTTTCCCAATTAGGAAATGGCCGAATTAGGAAATAGTGCGCACATTATCATTAACAATGACAACACCATGCTAGCCATTAACTCTTCTGGCCCAAAAGGCGTGGGAAACAGTTCCCAACCTAAATGCGCACTGTGCCTGACATCAGCTATGTCTGAAAAAAGTGTAACACTTTTCCCAATTAGGAAATGGCCCAATTAGGAAATAGTGCGGACATCGTCATGAACAATGACAACACTAAGCTAGCCACTAACTCCAGTGGCCCAAAGAGCGTGGGAAACAGTTCCCAACCTAACTGCACACTGTGCCTGACATTAGGTGTGGCAGAAAAAAGTGTAACGCTTTTCCCAATTAGGAAATCATCAAAGCGGACACTACAAAATTTTAGCATCACTTCAGTCAAAGCTATTGGTAAATATATGTAAACAAACTTCGAAATGAGGGTTTTCTGCCTTCCTCTGCCTAAATAAAAATAGATTATGGTTCCTGATACCATGGTATGGTGTGAGG